ATCAACTACATGTCACTTTGCTTGGTTGAATATGTTTAAAATGAAATTTAAAACAGTATTCTGTAAGATGATGCACAACAGTAGTCTTACCTGTATTTCTTTCAGTTGTGATTTGTACTGAATACTGGAATCAGTATAACAGTTTGATTTTAACAGTTAATAAGAAACAAGACTGGAAGGGAAAATTTTTGTGTACATTCCTTGTGTTCTGGTGTCACCTGCCTGTTTTTGATATTCGTACAGTGCAGTCAGAAATCTATTGCCAGTAGAGCTGATCAGTAGTACATACATTACAATATTTATAAATAGAATTATTCTTTCCTTGCATATAATTAAAATGTATACCACACAGAAAAGTATTTAAAATATAAATTACTTATCTTCATGAGCTGCATTTATTATGCTATGTGGCACATTATTGAGGAATTGAGTAAAGTTTGGTTTGAGTTTCACTTAAAATAAGGTCTGTAGTGAACAGATAGCAAAATGAAATTCTTCTGATAACTCTCAGTGTTTTATATATCCTCTCTATCAAATTTCATAAAACTCTGTTATCTGGTTTGGAAGGTGAAACATAGAAAGGCTTACGGAAATAACATCCAATTGTATTGCTTTCACTTTATGGACAAAGAACAGATAAAACCCAAAGAACCAGTGGCAGATAACGATCTCCTGGAAAGTTTACTCCACCTAACTCAATAGCTTCATGAAGTCGAGCCCTTCATGAGGATCCGTCAACTGTACAGCTACTTAAGAACTTCCCAACATATTATGGAACCCAAAGGTTCATTACTGTGTTCACAATAGCCCTCCACTGGTCCCTATCCTGAGCCAGATAAATTCAATCTATACCACACCATTCCATCTCTCTAAGATCAATTTTAATATTATTCACCCACCTACTTCTTGGCCTTCCTAGTGGTCTCTTTCCTTCTAGCTTTCCCACCAGTATCCTATATGAATTCATCTTCCCATTTGTGCTATATTCCCTGTCCATCTCATCCTCCTTGGCTTGATCATTTTAATTATACTTGGCAAAGAGTACAAGTTATAGAGCTACTCATGCAGTTTTCTCCAATCTCTCTTCAGTCTAAATATTCTCCTCAGCACCCTGTTCTCAAACACCCTCTGTCTACATTCCTCCCTAAATGTCAGAGACAGAGTTTCATACCCATGCAGAACCACAGGCAAAATTGTAGCTTTGCATATTCTAATTTTAATATTTTTAGACAGGAGATGAGAAGGCAAAATATTCTGGACTGCATTGTAGCAAACATTACGTGAATTCAGTCTCATCTTAATTTCCTCCTGAATAAGTTATGAATTATTACTGTTGTTCCAAAATATTTGAACTATGCCACATTTTGAAAACGTCTGTTAACCATTTTTATGCCATGATTTTGCCCTGCATTCTGCTGACAAGACAACAATATATATTGTCACATGTAGGGGGTACGCAGAAAACAGCCTTTATTGTTGGAATGTGTTTACCGAGCGATTGCATAGCAACGGTCATGGCACGGACTCAATGGAAAGCCAGTTACGTGATAGCTACCACTGTTGCATGACATCACAGCCTAGCATGGAAGGGCGTTTACCAAGCATTGAATAGCAACAGGCTTGGTGGGGCTATGTGATGCCACTTGCGGAAACGCAGAGGTCATGTGACTCCTTCTTACTCTTGCGCAATCCAAGCATTCACATAGCTGTCGCCTTGCAATGCACCAATATAATCCACAACTCTCCCATTGCACACATGCCCCAAGGCCTCTATGGCTCAACAGTTCCTATGGAGACCAAATTTGCCACAATACTTAGTTTTCTATGTTTACTTCTAGACCAACCTCCTTACTAGCGTCAATTAAAGTTTGTGTGTTTTTCTTTATGGTATCTATATTATCACCTAGTAGATTCTCATCATCATCATTATCATAGACCAGCAGCTGATGTGTCCCATTTAATTTCACTTACACCTGGTTTTTCTGGACAATGGTGTATTCTAAAGCAAAGTTGAAAAGCAGTGGCAATAAACCATCTCCTTATTTTTAACCATTCTGGATAAGTAAATTATGAGACAAATGATTACCTATACGGACTTTAACAGGGGTTTTTTTAAACACATTTTAATTAATCTAACTACTTTCATGGGCACCCCAAACCCTATGAGAATATTGTACAATACTTCCCTCCTAAGTGAATTGTAGGCTTTCTTGAAGTCTATGAATAGTTGCTGTACTCTCTCATTGTACTCCCTTTTTTTCTACAGTATCTTCAGAACGCAAAACATCTGATCAGTAGTTAAAACTGTTATGTTGAAACCCACACTTATGATCCCAATAATTTCGTCTACATACAAACTTAACCTTGAGAGAATGATATTGGATAAAATTTTATATGAAGTATATCCTACATTAATTACTACAGTCAGTTTTATTTCCCTTCTTGTGAATTGGCACACTAATGGACTGCTTCCACTGATCAGGCAGTTCTTCCTTATTCCAAATAGAATCAATGAGCTTAAGGATCTCAAACTAATATTTAACCTCCTGCTTGAATCAGTTCTGCCAGAATTTGGTCACTATGTGGCAATTTATAGCTTTTCAACTGTACAATAGAAATTTCAACCTCAAAAGGGCTAGGATCAGATACTAACAGTTCAGTTTGTGTGTATTTGTATCTGCCTAACATCACTTATCCTATGCACATTCAATAACTGAGAGAGTAGTTCTTCCACCTGTTCAAAATATTGTGGGAATTTGCAAGCAGTTCACTATTCTTATCCTTCACTAAGTTACTTCTAGGTTGGTAACTCCTCTTAAATCCATTTATTCCTTTATACAGGTCTCTGATGTTCTTGTTCTTTCTGTTTGTTGCACGCTCATTAATTTTATCTTTTTGATATTCCCTCTTTTTTTCCTGAAATGTCTGCTGGTTTCACGTCTTATATTGTTCATATTATCCCCATTTAACTCGCTTGGATCCTGTAACCACTGCAGTTTGGGTTGTTTCCTTTGATCTAATAATTCTGAGCATCGTTTGTTGAACCATGTCTTATTCTTCTTCAGTTCATAATAACCTAGACACTCTTTAGCTGAAATTTTGGTATTCTCTCTGATACTTTCCAAAGTTCTATTAATATCCACCTCAGTGTTTTTTTTCAAAGCTATGAACCTATTTGATATTTCAAAATGATACTGCTCTTTACCCTCTACATTATTTAATTTCTTGAGATTGTGCCTATCCATTTGAACTCTGTGCATTGTTTGTTTACTCACTGTTAGAATCTCTAAATTTGGCACCACCAGATAGTGGTCAGTATCACAATCTGCAACTCTGAACAATTGGACATCAAATATACTTGAACGCCATCTCCTGTATATCAAAATATGGTCAATTTGAGTGTCTTTCAATCAGAAGGTGTTCAAGTAAATTTATGGATGGTAAACGATGTAGAAACGTGGTACTTTTGACAGTCAGATTTTAAGATGTGGCGAAGTTTACTACTCCATTATTGTTACTGGTTTCTTGCAACTGTCATTCCCAGTTGTTAGTTTAAAATGTCTTCCCTACCTACTTTGGCACTGAAATCTAACAGAATTTTTTTGTGGTATTTAGGGAATTTATTGAATACATGTTCTAGTTTTACATAGAGCCTGTCCTTTATATCATCAGTTTTATCTTTTGTTGGAAGTATGAACATTCAGAACAGTGATATCACATCAGTGACCTCTTAGTATTGTATATGATATCCTAACACTAACGAACTCTACCCTCTTAACTGCTGATATGATTCTCTTATGTAAAAAAAGAAAAACTTTACCTAATTCGTGATTCTCATACCCCTTTCCATAGATAAATGTATATTCACCTTCTGGTTCGATGCCGCCTTTGTCCCAGCTGACTCTCACTAAATGTAACTTATATTTTGAAACTTCTTCCACCACTGCCCTGAGTGAACCTGCCCTATACAGACTTCTTACATTCCATGTACCAAATCTCATGCGTATTTTCTTTAGCTTAGGTTGTTTATCCAAAGAATCCGTCCAGGTCTGAGGCTTCTTGTGACCTTTCGTAAGAAGCTTATTTTTTACAGTGGGAGCTGTTAGTCCCATTCCCAACCCCAAAGCTGGAGGATCACCCCTTGTCAGCTTTCTATGACTGCTTATTCAATATATTCATAGATACCTCACATATCTGGAGGCCTTCTCTTCCATCTTCAATTTGAGGACGTTCCATGCCATGATGACATGGGGCCTTACTAAACATGGCAATTAAAAGAGCTATGAAAAGATAAGTAGATGCTAATGAAGAAAGTACCCAACTCACAAACGGGCTGTATTCTAAAAGTCTGTTCATGAGTCTTTTGTTCAGAATTTCATTTCCTGTTGAACCATGCTAAGAATAATGGTTAGGTTCACAGCCAGCTCACAATAGCCTAACCCACAGTTAGGCTGAAATGTAGTACATTTGATATTAATCATGATAGAAGACTGTATTGTTGCGGTACCAGTAATGAAACTGTTCACCAAAGGATTCAATCTGAACAAGTCTCTTATCATAACCTTGTTATTGTTCTTATTCCTCCCCTTCTCCTCCTCATCCACCACCATCTGCTTCTTGCATGCTGACAATGCTTTCTTTATTGAATGTGGTGTTTCTTAAGGAAGAACTGTTTTAATTAAAGAAGGTTAAGGAAGCAGAAGCCACCAAACATACTTCCAAAGAATAATAATAGGTATTTGTGTGATCAAATTATCAAAATATTAAGCTTAGATAATAGCTTTGTTTGTACACGTAGTTGGTTATTTGTAGCTTAAGGACTTCCTTATATAAAAGTATGTACTATACATCTAAATGTATGGAGTAATGTAATGTATAAATTGTAGTTTTGTTATTTTCTTCATAACATAAAAGTACTGCAAAATTTGAGCTAAATCAAATTTGCATATTTGATACTTTCTGGCTCTGGTTTTTTAAGAAACTGAATGTTTCTGTCACAGGCGAACTTATTCACAGAGGCGACAACATCAGGCAGCCAGGAAAATACAGCAGTTTATGCGACAGTCTAAAAATAAGTGAGTACTTCTTTGTGACTTTGTGATTGAAGATATTTCTCTTATAGTAGCTCCTTACTCAGTAGCTTGCATCATGTTCTACAGAAGATCAAACTACCCCTTATCGGTAATGTTAGCATTCTGACTGATTGTATTAGATTAAATATTAATCAACTATAACAGAACTGCAGTCACCTGATTGATTACAGTTTATGTGATTCTTATTTTAAACTTTTCTGTATTGTCTTTATTTGACACTTCTATTATGTTCTTAACTGGCTACAGTCACAAATAGAGGTAAGGTAGTGAGGTAGTGAAACAAACGGAAATATGAAGACAACTATCTTCTGGGATGTAACACCATGTAGTCTGATAGAAGTTTTGGATAAATATATAGTATCAATCTTCAGGGTTGAAGAGTAAGGCAAAGAGGCAAACAACCAGCAAGACACAAGCAGATCTGATCTGTTTTGTCTTCTGCTGCAAACATTATGGTCACTGTATCCAGAAAGGAAAATTATGACGTACAGGAAGGAATTCCATATTCTGCATAGCTGCACATTGAAATGCTGGAATACAAGAAATAGGTACTCCCCAGTTATTCCTTGAAAGTATAACTGAAAAATGTGAGGCACAATTAAAGAAACAAAGTCCTTACAAACTTCAAGCACTAAACTGAAGTAAAAAACCTTAGATTAAAAGAGTCAGCACAGAGGATCAAGAACTATATTGTGGGATTTTCAAGTTGATATTTTTGACTGGAATTTGCACAGTCTTTGTGTAGTAACGTTTGTATGACACACATATAATGACAACATTAAATGAATTTGGATCAAATTAAGAATTGTGGATTACTTCACCGTTTCAGCACAACCAGATTTGTTTTGTATCCAAATGTAATTAAGCCGCAGACAGTTCTGCACTATGAAGAAAGTACAGTTATTTACACGTTAGGGTCATATAGCAGTCAGTTAAATTAATGAAAATAGCTCCTGAGTGATAATGTGGGAGTCCTACAGGGGCTTTGAAGTTCCATAACATGCGTGAAGCTCTTTCTTCATAGTTTAGGTGCCATATCTATTAATTCCAGTTACAATAAATGTCTCTTTAAATGCCAGTGTGATGTCACAAGCTTTTGGTGGTTCTTACTTAATTATAATAGTTTGTAGTTTTGTTCAGCAAAGATCATTCAGTGAAACGCTTTACATATCGATGACAGCATTAGTCCATTCTGTTCCTTCTTTTCTTTCATTGTTTCCCCCATGTTCCAGCCCTTCCTGTATAGCACACTTCACTGACTCTCACATGATTAACTTTCCTTCACCAGATCAATTGGTTGGTGTGAACTTGAGCTGTGTATTGCATGTTGTGCCAGTTATGTTTGGACTAACTAGTTGCTTCTTTCTCTAAATGCTACCATTCACAGCTTGTGGGATGTTAGCCCAGGGAATCCGGTGAGTGGTTTAATGATGATGGACATCTCTTTAGTCAGTTTGTGTAAATTTACTTTTATTAACAATTTGTGCTGCTGAACACTAATATTTTAATTTTAAAACATAGTTTCCATTCACACTGATGTATGTTATGCCACTATGTATTTTTATGCTGGTTGGTGTTCCTCAGGTGATTAAGAATGATATTCTGTCCAATTGGGTTTTTGTTAGTAGTGCTGTCATTGTGTTGTAGATATGCTTCCATGTTTCATCTTGATTAAAGTGCTGAAGGAACCAATATCAAGTTATGTGTGACTGCTAGGGGCAGAAATTTCCTTACCTTCTTACAAAGCATCCTGTTTTCATATATGTAGATGGGACTGTTAACATACTCTGCTACCCATGCAAGTTAAAACATACACGTACATCCTCCTCTTTCAGTAATCAGTGAGAGTGAATTTCTTGATTACATATCTGCAAGAACATAACAACCATAGAAATTGCTTGACCATATCTACCTCATAATTAACACAAAACATATCTTGCTGCAACTTCAGTGACCTGAGCATGATATATTAACATTTTAATGCACTATGGTATGATACACATTAGTGTCTGTAGACTACATGCTTTAAAATTAAGTTGCTTATAATGATTTATTGTAATCATAACATAATTCACATATTGTTTATATATTCTGGATGCTATTCTAGCAGTTATTTTAGCATAATATTAGGAATACAATAAACTTAGGAATTTCATATTTTCATTATCAATAATATTTTAATTAATTTCACTTTCTTCACCAGCATCCCAGAACCTTTCACTTGCAGACAGTGATATGCAAATTTTGATGAATCTTCGGTATAAGAACTCTCCTTATAACAGTTTTTATGATGCTCACACATTCTTATTCACTGGCCTCAATTTATGGTATGTAATGATTACAGAGCAGTGTAGATTATTATGGAAACATTGTGCACAGTACTCTAATTTATACAGGCATTTGGTACTGTTTATTTGTTGTTGATATGTCTGATCTTGTCGTTGTAAGGGTTAAACAGAACACATTATTAGCTGCATGAGTAGCTGAAATGTAGCTATATATCTGCCATCCACAATGCACAAGAATAGTCCATTGTTTATATATTGTACCCTAATATTTATTCCACATAATTCCTATATATATATCTGAAACCCACAACAGGATGAAACCAATGAAGATCACTGTCTTTAAATGATCTACCAGACTGGCCCCTCAGCACTCAAAGAAGCATAGGATGCTACTCTGGTCTGCTCTGGTTCAAGCACAGCTAGATGTGCTATATATTAAAACATATATATTTATGAAAATATTAGAAGGTTCACAACTCCACATGGGATAAGCGTTATTTCTTTGCATTTAATTTTGGAAAGTGCTTAAGTGCTATACATCAACACTTACCCTTGTGCTCTATGACTGTTTACAATGTGGACACTTAACAACATGGATCCACGTACTATATAATGATGTAGGTTAACACTACAATGGGCACTATAACTTTGAAACTTTAAAACTAGGAATACATAAATTTTAATAACTTTGATAATTTTTAATACATTTTTTCAATACTTTTAATGCCTTTAATACAAAGTCAACATACTTGTGAATATATTTTTTCAATATATCCTAGGTATATTTTATATATTTTTATATGCATAATTTCAAAACTTATATTTAACTCAAGGCACAATTCTGTATCATAGAGTGTGACATGCACCAGATATGGATATAGATTAGAAATTCAATGACACTAAATGTATTCTTATATCACTGCCTGATGATGGTCTTATGAGACCAAAACATATAGTAGGAAATAAATATTCAACTGTAAAATACTGATTGATTATAAATCACTTTGTTGTGATGACGGCTAACCTAACTATATATTTTTATTCTTATTATATATTTAAAATCAAAATATGAATTATATTTCCATTTTCCTTATTTCATGAAATATACTGTAATAACTGCTCTTCTAAGAATGTGTCTTGCCTCATGTAAGCAACTTTCAAGACTATGTTTAAAATGTCCTTTTCTGTTCTGATGATGGTGGATGACACACAGAATTACTGGGGTGTTGGAATTTTTCCCATCGTCCGGAATTCTAGGTAATAGAGGACAGTTTCCAAAACATCGTGTCCTCTATTACTTAGAATTCCAGATGATAGAAAAAGTCCAAAACCCCAGTAATTCTATGTTATTCGAAGTTCTGCTGCTTGTAAATTTGACTTTTTCAAGTAATTCTACTCCAACATTTATCTTCAATGTTATATTAACTATTTCTGTAAATACTACAGAGACCACAAACTTTCAAGGAAGAAAGTGTTTAAAATATATCAAAACCTTGTTACCAATTTGTCTGTACTGTCTGTATGTACAGAATTCATAAATCAGTATGACAGTTTTACATATATTTGATACCAAATTAAAGAATCTCAATTTATGGAATGACACTTGTAACTGTCTGTCTTGAGTTTCTGTAAGTTCTATGAAATTTGATATGTTTAACACATGTGCCCTCACACACACACACACTTATCAGTATTATTGTATCATTATGTAGATTTGCTATAACTGTTTAAATTTGAGAAGGAATTTTCTGTGTCAGTGTTTATTGCATAGTGCTTGTTCCTTGTATTCCATAACAAGTGTTTTGATTGCGTCTTAAAGTTTCATACATACTAGTGAATTCAAAGATGAAATGAATTATATTACATTGTTACATATATCAAGTAAACATGTGCAGACTCCTTGCAATTTTCTGATATATGATACAAAGTTCTTATGATACAATAAATTCCTTCCATTTTAGTATAAAGCTTGGCAGTGTCTCTCTTGAAGAGACATGATGCAAAGAAATGTGTGTGGTGTTTTTTAATGTTTGTCTTAACTCCCGCTATTGGTTTACGTTGTGGTTGGTTTAAATATCCTGCTGTCTTGTGTTGGTTCTGGTCTCCAGAGATAGAGACTAGATCTATCGATTGGGCACAGCTGAGTGTACTTTTACTTGGGGAGAGGGGCAGAGTCCAATCTCCAAAACGTTGTCTTTAAATAAAAAAGAAAATGATGGATAATGTCATGAAACTCAGTAATTTCAATAATTGTGTAACTGTAAAGAAATTTTTGTTACGTATAATTTTATAATCTTTGAATGGATACATACCAAAGGCCTTATTATTAATCTCTAAAATGTGGGAACCTCAACATTTTACAACCATATGGGCCACCACAGCCTATTACAGGGATAGCTTTCTTTTTTGCCATGGAGTTTAACATTGGGACTTTTTGGAGAAAACAGAATTCTTTTGAGTTAAACATTGAAAACATAATGTGAGCTTGCACATGTTTGTCTTAAGCCCCATCCTGCTGTTAAATTTTGGAAACAGTACAAGATACAGTTTGTCCTCTAACTATCTAAACAAGTTCTTTGAACCATTTTCTATTGGTTTGGTTGTTTAAAAAATCCATCAAAATACAAGATCCTCTGTAACGTTTCATAAAATACCAGTTTTTACAGTGAGATAATATTAACCCCAGTCCAATCTCCAAGCTGGAGGATCACCTTGTATTGTCTGTATCAGTGGAAACCCTTTGTGCCTGGAGACGTCTTCTCCATCCACAGCCTGGGGATGTGCCATATCACGTTAACAAGGAATCATCTAAACATGGGGTTTATATTTATTGTAATGAGAAATATTAACAATGACATTAAGTCAAACCCAGGACAGTTCAGGAAGGCCTATAAAATTAGTCGTGGTGGTAGTGATAATGGTAGGCTTAACAACAACAGCAACAAAAAGTGCCTCAAAATGTTGTTTTAGGAGGTAGTTCCTTATGACATGTGTAACTGAATTTTGTCATTGAGCTATATTATTTATTGCTCATAAAAACGTATCTGGATATTCTAGACTCAGATTTTATGCAATTGTGGGGAATGAGAAATTCAATGAAATATAGGTCTTATAAATGCTGAACTCAGTATCATCTGAACTCCAGTTAGGGAAATATTTAAAAGATCCTTCTTTTATTCAGGGACATGATCCATTTTCATTCATCTGTCAAATACAGTTTAAGTGGCAAACACTCCAGGATGGCTCAGTCAGCATAGCGACTGACTACAGGCTGGAGGATGGAGGAGTTGGAGTTGGAGTCCCAGTGGGGCAAGAATTTTGACTTCTTCATGTTGTGCAGACTGGCTCAGGAGCCCACCCAACCAACTATGTAATGGGTACCGGGGGCTCTTTTTGCTGGGATAAAGCAGCCATGGCGTGAAGCTGGCCACTCACCACAAACTAGTGCCAAGGTCAAGAAAATGTGGATCTATACCTCCACTCCCCATATGCCTTCATGGTATAGTGCTTAATTAGTTAAGCACAGGGACAGCTTTACCTTATAATATATATTGCTGATGTTTCTGTCAATGATACAAGGACATGTATTAATATTACCTTTCTATTTTGATGGAAAGAAAAGATCAAGGTATGCATGGGGATATAAAGACCTAAATGTCAAAGATAATGAATTGTTATTATTTAGCTTTTACTGCTACTGATGTATAAAGTTGCAAGGACTCTGGAGAAAGCTTTCTTTTCACTTGAGTGAAAGTTTCTTGTCTGGTTGTTTTCTTTCATCATGTTTTCTAATTGTATCTCTGTCTTTGACCTGTTGCTTCTCTGTCTGCTTTCCTTTGCTTGCCATGTCACCTGCCATGTTGCCATGTTGCACCAATGCCACTGCTGCTGCTGTTGCTGCTGGCACACAGATTACAGAAAGAGCGAGCTTTGGCAGCCGAAAAAGAGAAGCAGGAGGACCGGTCAGTGGATGCCCTCCAAAGGTCGCTCTGTCCAGACAACAATTTGGCTTACTCCAGCACCGACCCAAATAATGGTGGGAATAGTAACAGGTGTGAATATTTTAGAATACAAATTCTGCCAGGGATTTTGCTGCATCAAGATGGTAAAAGGTGCTGACATTTTGAAGGAGCTTCCTACTTCATTCTTTGGAGCCAAATTGACATCACTTCACTCCTAAAGGAGGAAGCAGTAAGTTCCTTCATATCATCATGTCAGGGTCATAGAAATTACTGGAGGACACTGTCTTCTTCTTCAGGATCCTAATGACAGCAAGTTTCTCTGGTATTTATTCCTGCTTCAGCATGGTATATTACCCATAAGACTACACTGAATTTGTTCTGCCATGAAAACATCGAGTCTTATATATATTTTAGAATGTGTCTGTGTGCTTGGAGATGTAATGGAACATCAATTTATCTAGAAAAGTGGTATCTTTTTTGCTGAATATTTGATCACTTAAGAGTTTTGTTTCTTGGTGAGGGACTTGTGATATATTTTGGTGTGATTGTTCTTGGTTGTTCTTATTTTTGATTTGTTTTGTTTGGACATCTCAGCACCCAAGTATAGAAGTTATAGTAAAGCTGCTAACCTGTTGTTTTGGGCCGCATCAGGTACTGAATATGCCACTTATGCAAAAACAACTTTTGTTTAAAATAAACCAAAAGAGCTTTCTAAAATATAATCTTTGCTCATTATTTCCTAATACTGGAGGTTATAAATATTACAGTGTATCAGCCTCTTGTTATGGTGAGGATTCTGTTGGCTGCTTTTGAGAAAGTTAATAACCAGGAAAAGCTTACTTGACTGAAATATGATCACAGAGAATGGAATTTGATAATATTGTCATTAAAATTTTGTTTCTGTTCCTGTCATATTGATCACCAAGTAGCCCTAATAGGCGATTAATTCTTTGGTACATCTAAATTTTTGTGAACAGGCTAGTTACTGAGGAAATAAATGGTGTGAACAAAGATATATATCATTTTATAATCTCAGTCATTTCTCTTGTGATAACTGTATAATTCTTTTTGGTGCAATTGCAACTTTGTGGAGTGACTGTTAAATCTACTATCTGCCTATCTGTCCACCAGAATGCATGAAACAGTTCAACAATCACTTAGTGGATTTCATGAAAGCAGAGGAGTTTTAATGAAATCTGTCAGGTCGTTCCAGCTTTGATTGAAGTCAGATAAAAATAATAGACACTTCCCTTGAAGATTTACATGCATTTCTGTACATATCATAAGCATAACTCACTAAATATTTTTTGGAGCAAAAGTTATTATGAATATATGTTTCAGAGAACAATGAAGGACACATTCTTTATCCAGTATATTTTTTCATAAATCTAATGGTTTTTAAGATAACTGCATGAAAGTGATGCTATGCATACATTTCCTAATCAACACTTAACCCTGATTTTTCAAACACAAAAGATTACCAAACAGCATATGGTGGTTTTCCAAACCCACATGAAGATTACAGAAATCTCTTATTCACAGTGATATATAAATGAAGGTTCCACTCAGAGGACTTCATAAGTCCATGCATATACAAGGGATACCCAGAAAGTAAAGATAAAAGTTCAGTAAAAATGCAAGGGATATATTATTTTTCAGAAATGCCAGTGCTGCCATGTGAGATAGGAACCTTATGACAGAGCTGAGCTCACCGGCCACAGTCACGGCAACGTTGTGCTTACAGTATGTGTTTAAAATGGCTGCGTCAATTGAAAATCCCACCAAATGTGTGGTTCGTGCGGTAATTCGATTTCTTCACATTAAAGGAGAAACTGCTGCTGAAATTCAATGCCAACTTGTTTCTGTTTACGGTGAAGATGTTATGAACAGGAAAAACGTGGCAAAATGGTATTGTGAATTTGAAGCGGGAAGAAGTGATTTTCATAATGAAAAGAAGAGTGGAAGGCCATCCGTTGTCATTGATGAAATCATCGAAGAAAAAAATGAAAGCATTCGTGCTGACAGACGTTTAACCATCGATGAACTTCATCAACAATATCCAGAAGTGTCAAGAACTGTTCATCATGGCTAAGAGAGCAGGCAGAAGATTTCTATGACACTAGAATAAAGAAAACTCGTTCCCAGGCTCACCAAGTGCATTGCAACCCAAGGTTGCAAAGTTGTGTTGTAAAAGTGCTACAAGTGCATAAAAAAATGCTTTACAGATATTTTCTGGGCTATGTATCTTTACTTTCAGGATATTTTTCATGGAATTATATATAATTAAAATGTAACCGATCATTTTGCTGAAGTCCTTTATTCTTGTGAGACCTGAGGTTCTCACAGTTATGTCTTTGAGGAACACTGTCCTCTGAGATGTGGCGCTGTGTAGTCTGGTAGAAGTTTTCTGATAGTTTCAAAAGCGTGTTCTACCTCCATCTTCAGGGTGGAAAAGTAAGCCAAGCATGAAAGAAAGGGGTATGGATAGGCCGGGATGGGAGCCCTAACTGACCCAATAAGGGTAAGAAGAAAGGAGAAAGAATCAAGGCCTTAATTTTATATATATATATATGTATATAATGGCCCTGAGTGGCCAGTGGAAGGCACTAATAGGACCTGAATATGGAGGGGGATGAAAAATGAAATGGAACAGAAAGGAAAGCCTTCACTTGTAAGGCAGACAGACACTAACCAAACTGAAGGCAGAGTATTTTGGGTAGGGGTGGAGAAAAGACCCAGAAGAGGAAGGAAATCCCAGGCATAGGTGTAAGGACAGATAAGTGTCTGACTCACTCACATTTCCTGTCCAGGCCTATATGTGGACCACTTTTTTCATAAGATCTAAAAGTTTGTGACAATGGTGTGTTAATGTAAGTACTGTGTTTTTGGACATTATCCATCATCCTCTATTTTATTTAAAATACAACATTTCAGAGACCGGGTTCTGTCTCTGTCTTGAGGTAAAAGCCTCCTCAGTTGGGCCAAATCAATGGAGCTAGTCCCTAACTCTGGACACAAGCATCCATGCAAGATAGGATGTATAAATCAAGCACAACATAAACCATCTGTGAGAGATGAGACAAATATTAAAATCGTTAAAATACTTCACACAAAGGCCTAGCATCCATGTCCATGCACTGTTCATGGCTGTTGGCGTTAAAATCAAGAGTACTATCAGAATTGAAGTCATTATGAAGCAGACAAATTCTCTGTATAGTGCCAGCTTAAAAACACAACTTTCACACATAGTCTACACTGGATGGAATTGTAGTTTTCTGACTTATGCTCCAGATTGGAGAGATGTTCAAGCTGGGTTGACTGATTAGATGATCTACAATACAATATAATACAGTACAATACAATACTAGAAACATTTGGTCAGATTCCTTGTATTTCCTATAATATCCAAAACCCTTCCAACATATTTTGTGGCTTTCTTCATGTGAATGTTGGGCTGATTCCTGCAATCTTCTGCAAGTTTGATTAGTAGAGCCAAGATCATATGTCAGGATCAGAAGGATTTCAACAGGGAAATTAAAAACATAAGACATGATCTGATATTTAATGAATACCCACAAGAATTCATTGACTCCATAATGAAGCCATTGAGTGGCAACCATCCTTCTTCAGATACAGTATACCAGGGCATGGTCATCATCCAGTATGTTAAGGTTATCTTGGAGAAATTCAGATGCATTGGAAACCATTTCAATGTCAGGAACTTTTTCAAAACTAAATATACATTCTGTGGGACATTGATGAAAATTAGACCAGCTAGAGATGCCCAGCAGACAAAGCAGTATGTGTATAATATCCCATGTGAGTGTGGCAGATGTTACCTCTGTGAAACAAGCGGGCCTTTAGAAACATGTATTGTGGAGCACAAATACAACCTGACCCAAGGTCTGCTCAAAAAATCAAAATTAGTCCAACATGCATATGAAGAAGGGCACAAAATATGCTGGAAAGAAGCAAAGGTCTTGCAGATCGAACTGAACACCACATACAGGAAATATAAGGAATCTGCCCACATGTCTATGGTAGGTCATTTAATCAGTCAACCCAGCTCATACATCTCTCCCATTTGGACTCCCATTATTGCAGCAGAAGTCAAAAACATACAGTTCTATCCAGTGTAGATTATATGTGAAAGCTGTTTTTAAGTTGGCACATACAGAGAATTTGTTTAGTGATGACTTCAATTCTGATAGTACTCTGAAGAAATAGTGCATGGACATAGGTGTGGGTGTGGGGTTTTTTAATGATTTTCTTATTTGTCTTAACTCTTGCAGATGTTTATGTTGTGCTTGATTTATATATCCTATCTTACGTTGATGTTGGTATCAAGAGATAGGGACTAGATCTAATGATTGGGCCCAACTGAGTAGACTTTCACATGAATACAGAGACACAATCCAGTCACCAAAACGTTGTGTTTTAAATAATGAAACAGGCCAATAGGTATTGTCCAAAAACACAATCATACATTTGTTCATGCTTGGCTCACTCTTCTACCTTGAAGACGGAGGCAGAACGTTCCTGAGAAATGTTGGGAAACTTTTACCAGACTACACAGCATCACATTCCTTCTTATATTTATGGTCACAATAGATTAATCTACATGAAAGGAAATGCTTCAGTTGTTTCAGCAAAAAGTCACACTTAAAGAAAAGAACCAAATAAATTTGTGATTGAGCTTAGGCTGTATTGAAATCTGATTTGTTTTCCCCTTTTGTGTGGTGCTGTATTGTAAAAAACTTTGAAACATTTATAGAAAAATATCTATTTTATTTGTAATGTGTGTAATAACAATGAACCCTTAACATTAATTGTTTATGCATTCACTATATAGTTTTGACTTCTTGTCAGTTTGAACAAGTATTGACTAATAGTGAATGAGTGTATGTGAATTGAAAGTTTGCTATAAGGGAGGAGGTTGTCAAAGTCGTGATTATTCAGTTTACCTAAGTAAGGTTTCCTCTTTCCACATTAGTTACATTTCCTATTCTTTATGTGAAGTAATTTGAAGGGCAAGAATGTTAGCATGTTCTTTGTAATTCCATCTGCATAATTCTCCTGTTTAGTGTACAATGTATATTGTTACAGTCTTCTTTAAAAATCAATGGATAGGGATTTTTGGGTGAGACAGCTTTTTCCATAGATCTGTTTTACAGAATGTATGTCTGTTGAAATTATTATGCAGTAAAAGAACTAAAGATTTCATCAGCACCAGTATGTATATGCTGCTATAGAAGTAACTGGAACAACAGTTAACAGGATCTGAAAATATCAGGCCAAAGGAAGAAAAATTAAGAAGAAATGAAAAGATGGAAATATGCTGTTGCACCCCACAGCTTTCTGTGGTTGTAGGTTTGGATTATTAAGATTAAGTTATCAGTATAATGCATCACTAAGTCAAGGGTTAGAGAGTTTTGAAATGGTATAATCAATTTATTAGCAACAAAGAAATGAATACAAATTGAAAAAAAACTGAAACAACAAATAAATAATGGAGTAAAAGAGGAAAATGAAGCAGCGTAACATCTATCCAGTGGTGAGAGAAACCCCCCCCTCACACACAGTTATTGGGAATCACAAAACAAACTCATCTCACAGACACTGCAGTGGATGGATGTTTGTTGGAAGGAAAGGACTGATGACAACAGTGTATTTCTAAATGTCAAACCAAACTAGACTCTTAAGTCCTCGAAACTCAAGAGCTTCTCAGACAGTGCTCTCTGCAAACTCAGAGTAAGCCTTATCAGAGGCGAAGTGGTGAAAAGAAAAGGGGTTGGGAGAATGCATCCACAGCAGAACATAACATTACCAGAAACATGGGTGTTCAAGAAGTGCATTCCTTACAGACAGCACACTGCTCTGTGATATGCTTAACAGGACAACTACAGCCTATAGTAGAGAGAATGGGTGATTATGATGATAAGATTTAGAGAGTTGTCCTGGTAATATTTTTGTGAACATAATGAAAATTTGGGGGATGGGAATACCGAGTACTCAGTATTTGAACTATTAAATTTATATACTGTTTGCTTACCAGAATTTCTTTGTTCATTTAACATAAGTTAAACTTAGAAACTGACCTTGATTTTCTTACATGTTGTGTTTGGTTGGTTTGCAGGCACAAAGACAGCCTTGGAATGGATACATCAGATGAAACCTGATTCTCAGTTTGACCGAACAGATAAAAGAATTTGCATGTAAGATTAAAAAACTGTGGGTAGTTACCTCACCTACAGTGTTTCTGTGTCCATCCTGTTGCAGAATAATAAATGAAGTAGTTAAGGACAAGGGAACTTTAAAATATCCATAAAAATAAATGTAATTCTTATGATAAGACATCATATTGAACATGAACTGTCACAAGAGTGAGTTCACATAGTTTAAGCAATCATATCAAGCCATTCCTTTAGAAAAGATAAGAACAGTACTTTCTGCTTCAAGGAACAATATGCTTTATGGTGTGTTTATATTGAAATAAACCTGCAATTTAAATTGTTGCATCCTCATAATCTGTAAATGCTATAATCATCTATTAACATTGGTGTTATGGGTAACAAAGGCAAGTGTAAACCATACCTTTCAGTGACAGAAATGGTTACCGTGATTGGTATTATTAATAAAGCCACACAGTTGTCTATTAGAAGTGCATGTAGCCAACTCTGGGGCATTGAAACATTTAAAAAGCAGGAGTTAGAATGACACATTCTTTTAAATAAAGTGTGGCCTTGAGAATCTGCGTCCATGACTAGGTTGCCATTGTAGCTGAGGGTTTCTTTGTCACAACAGAAACAAGAGAAATAAGAAACTTTTCTTCTTCTGGAAGTAGTAGGTAAATTATCTCTCTTCTTATATACATATTGTTCATAAGATTCTATGTTATACCATGGATATGATGGGGGGGGATAAGAAAATATTTTCTACTGCTCCTACTACTATTACTACTACTACTACTACTACTACTACTACTACTACTATGAGGAAAATGATTGATTTAATAGATACAAGAAGAGGTTTGGAACCCTGAGATGATATTCATGGCCAGGTGTACAAGAAGAAATAAAGTGTAGAGTTATACAGTTGAATTTGTAGTATGCAGTATTTGATCTGGAATCAGAAAATAATTGGTAACTAAAAGTACTTCTGTACCATGACAGATTGTATGATAACAGTAGTTTGACAAAGAAATGTATGATTGAAGCTGTCTCCACTGTTACTGATGAGAGATGGGAATTAATTATGGTCAGGGCATATATTTGTTTCTCCTTTTCACATAAGTAATCTATTTATTAACAGACAGATTGCAAATAATCAGAGAGAGTAATTATTTTCTTTGGCTCTCTCATATATGCAAGCTTGTCTTCTGATATCAATATAGAATGTTTTAGAGGATGGTGAGCAGAGATTGATGATTGTCTTAGTTTATTCATTGGTGCATCAAGGGGGCAGGCCCCCATATATCTGTAAATATTATATTTAATGAGGAAAAGGGAGAAATCTTTGTTTTCATGCTGGTTTTATATTCAAAATATTACATACCATTTAAATTTGTTTTAAATATTAAGTAGCTATATTTAATTCATAGTTAGATATGACAAGATATTATAGATTTAGTATAAAGTGGCTTTCAGTTAATGATTATGTATGAAGATGACTTTGTTCTACCTGAAGCATCAGGACAACAATTTGCAGGATCAGACAGTGTGTAAATGAACTCTTTGCAGGAATTTACAAAGTGAGATACTGAAGCTGTGATGTAGACTACCATTTTATGTGTTAAAATGTGAGAAATGAATATGAAATTGGTGCTGTATGTACATCTGTATATCAGATGGCACCACACACTGGATATATTTAAATTAGAATTATGTACTTAAAGTCTGTCTTATGACAGTTTTTCTCTTAAGGATTTGTTCCTTCTTCTTTATTACAACTGTCACAACACGACTATATCAATGTCAGTGCCTAGTTTTGGCTCTGCTACATGTTTCGGCTATTAATAGCCATCATCAGGCAAATACATGGCTAACATATATGCACCACTGAACTGCAGTATTAATAAAATTGGATACAATCATATTAATATATTAAAATACTTGACATAAAAATACAATAAATTAGACATATAAAAAACAAAAGTTATAGTATAAAACAAGAATAAAATTCTTCGATTGATGTTTTACATCATCGAGTCATTTGTTGGTTTCTGAGATATTTGTTGTGTTCCCACAGACAAATTGGAGTATTCTATATTTTGTACGTACATAAAAAACTGTTATTGGAGGTTCATGATGTAGATGTAGTAATATAAATGTTAATTATTTAGTTGGTGCCTCATCTTACAAAGTATTGTCCTTTCTGTAGGGAGTGTAAGTAATGCTCTTTTTTTAATTTTTGATAAATGCTTTATTTAAAAAGACATACGAGTATTTAATAACTTTTAAGTTAATAAAATAATTATAGTAATAATATTTAAATAATTAATAAAATACATCTTCATAATTATATCTGTTACCAAATTAACACACTAGGAATTATCTTTATGCAGAGTATCCTGTCCTCCTAAGGACTACAGCCTTATCATGGACGGGAGGTTTGCGCGTCCCAATGATCTGGAGATATATGCTGGCGGGAGTGTAAGCTCCTGGTAGTGGGGCCAGATGAAGTTTCATCCCTGATCCTCTAGGTTGGCTGTTGGGCGTGGGACTAACGACCCTATACCGGGAAAATGCAGTGTTACAAAAACCATGGATGAGAACAAGAGCCACACACAGGGCTGTAGCACCAGTAAAAAAAAAGTGTATCATACTTTAAGCTCATAGACCTAATATGTCAATATGTTTGTGTGTCCGGCACACTTCTGGGCAAACTGATAATCGAACCTGGCACAGATGCCACATCTAATAAGTTGGTCCAAATCGCATGTATAGTTACATACTGCATACATATGCATATATACTTATTAGATGTGGCATATTATTACTATAATTATTTTATTAACTTAAAAGTTATTAAATACTCATTGGCCTTTAAAATAAAGCATTTATCAAAAATTTGAAAAAAAGAGTCATTGCTTACATTCCCTACAGAACGGACAATACTTTGTAAGATGAGGCACCAACCAAATAATTAACATGTATATTACTACATCTACATCATGAGCCTCCAATAACAGTTTTTTATGTACGTACAAAATATAGAATACTCCAATTTGTCCGTGGGAACACAACAAATATCACAAAAACCAACGACTGACTCGATGATGTAAAGCATCAATCGAAGAATTTTATTCTTGTTTTATACTATAACGTTTGTTTTTTATATGTCTAATTTATTGTATTTTTATGTCAAGTATTTTAATATATTAATATGATTGTATCCAATTTTATTAATACTGCAGTTCAGTGGTGCATATATGTTAGCCATGTATTTGCCTGATGATGGCTATTAATAGCCGAAACATGTAGCAGAGCCAAACTAGGCACTGACATTGATATAGTTGTGTTGTGATGGTTGTAATAAAGAAGTTGTATATTATACACAACAGGATGCATGAAATGAAAAAGATTTGTTCCTTGTTATTCATCCTTCTCTTATTAATTCTCTCTATTTCTCTATTGGAAAATATACATCTAAAAGAATATCATAAACATAGACTTAAGACTGCTGCTAGAACTAATAAACTTACTATCAAAACTCATCTTTCCAAGCTTTAATTATTGTTAAACTTAATCTTTATTAATCCAATATTCAGATATTGGAAGATCCAAAGTCTTCATTATCATGGTAGCAACAGTTGTAGGCAGGTATTAGTTCTTGAAGGCTTTGAAATGTAGTGCGTTGTAATGCCTATCTACAAGGAAGAAAACAATCAAATATGCTTTGTTAATAATTGTAGTTACTTACCAGTAAGTTAAGGAACTTGTCCTGATATGCTCCTCAAGATCACGGAGTATCTAACTTGTATTTAGTACGTAGCTACTATACTACAGTACTTCTGTTTATTAATGCAGTGGGTCATGGAGAAATAAAGGTTAATAATTTCACACAGAAAGGTTTCCCACAGGATTCCTTACTTACCTTGGAACTGATGATCAGTTTATATCCCTGCGGCTGATGGCAGAAATACTGGTACTCCAAGTCATCAAATGGAATTATCTTGCATATACATCAAGGTCCATAACTTGTACACAAAGTTCGAAGAATCACTCTCAATTGATAGAATGATTAGAAAAATTGTGATAATTGTTTAGTCCTCATTAATTTTATTTTCGGATTTTTTATATATTTTGCTTATCTGTTGTTACGAAACTTAAACTGCATAACCACTGCCAATTTTTACCCATTACAAAGTGGTACATGGAATTGTTTCCACTTTTAAGTACAGTTACCTAGAGAATGAATTGCCAAAAGAGTCATGCACACATAACTATTTTAAAACAGTGATTACTGCACACACACACACACACACACACACACACACATATATATATATATATCTGTGTATGTATGTATATATGTAAAATGACTCAGATTTTATCTTGTAGGTCTTCTCGATTCATTTTTCACCACATTATGGCAATGTGTTCCTCTCATGACAACTTTTAACTTATAGCTTTAAAGAGAGAATTCTAGTGTCTTTATTAATTCTACTACAGATGTTTACAAATTTTTCTAGGCTAAGAGCAGCAAAGTTGTGACTTGAGAAACTCTGCAGACGATTAATGAACTATTGTTATTAATTCTTTAAGTGCAAATAGTTAAGTAAATCATTGTTCATGCCTAAAAGTTCAATCTTCTTCTATATAAAGTTCAGGTGCTTATGAAATATAACCACTTTTGAATAAAATATGGAAAATGTATCTAGTATTAGAAAAAAGTATGCAAAAATCATTGTGATGTGGGCACTTAAACAAATCAGTAAAATATATCTTTATTACATGTTACCAAGTTAATAGCTGTTTGAAAGTACCCCTTTATTTTAAATGTATGTAAGTCAAGAAAAACCTATAAATATGTTGGAAAATTGTAGCTGAAGATTTTCTGTACAAGTTAGATTTTATATTCATCTAAGTGTTCAATTAATTCTGAATGTGATAAATACTTATTGTACAGTTTGGATTCTCCATTTTTAATTGTTACATGTTCCACCCTTTCATCACAGTGGATTTTGTTAAGAAAAAGTATGAAGTAACTTACAATGTACAAATATTTAAATATGGTAGTAGGAGAAGCCTGTAGATAAATAAATCAGCTTCAACCCCTATATAAAACTAGCATTTTTCATGGTTATTATACTTGTTAGTATTATCATGTTTTACATATTTTTAACTTCTTAAATCACTATGGTTGTAACTTTCTCAGATAGCAGTCGAACCCCCATTTGTTTTGTAATAAGATGTTAGCAGTCTATTTAACTGTAATGCATCTTGCCATGGGGCATAGGCATGAAGCAATATGTATTATTATATAAGGCATATTCATTACTAAATTATAAACTACAAAACTTTAGATATGCTAAAAGTGCTAATGAAATAAACTGATAAAATTATGTGGTTAGTTAAACAGTAGTAATAAAGTTGATAACTTGTGTAATTGGTAAACGATATTTTAAGACAATATACTTGTTTTGTTTCACATATCACATGTTTTCCTAAATCATATTACTAATTATTATTGATTTTTAGCATAATTTATTTAATATTTGCCTTGACCATCATATCTGTATTTTTAGTTTTCAAAATGAGACCAGTGTTGTTCACATTATGGGACAACCAAAACCACATTCAAGTCCATATATATTTGTGACTGTGATTCTTTAATGTCATAGCATGATATTTTGTACTATGTTTTCCATTTGGATGATTTTTCCATGAGTTAAGCTTACCCAGAATTATAGATCACAGCAGTGCCAGGAATTTATGAGATAACACAGTGTTCTGAAATCAGTAGTGTTGTGAAGATTGGGAATTTGGATTTTTTCACTCCACTTATCTGCACTATATATTCACATTCAGTGATGTATCCATTATTGCATTCCTTTGTTTCTTAGATCACAGTAATTCTCTTTAAAAACAGTTTTCAATACATGTCAGCAAAATTACAGTGTAATATAAGAATGTTCCATGCAGTAGTACTTTGAGTAAGGTACAGGATGAATTCAGGGAATGTAGGAACATTAACTGGTTAATAAGTGAGAGAAATGAATTAATATTTTTAATTGTAGCTTAAATTTAAATTATTAAAGAGCTTATGATCAATTTTGTATGTTTATTAACTGTTTAACTGATGTATGAAGTATAGTATTACTACTCATTCATTTATGTATGGATGGTCTACAAACACGATTAGAAATTGCAGTTGATAATATGTAACCAAGTAAAATTTTTCACCAGTCCCTGTGTTTATGCTGAATACCTTTTTATCACTTGAGGAAAGAAAAGAAATTGTTCAGATGTTCTTGCTAGTCTCATAACAGTACATTTGGATCAACCAGTCATGTCAAACAGTCAGCCGGATAATTCAGAAACATGACACCATGAACAACAGGATTTTGTGTTTATATAATGTTTCCTCAAGAAGCAAGAACTGAAACTAGTGAAATAAGTATCTGTGTATATACATGCATGTGTTTATGTCTGCACTGGCAAAGAACATCATTATTTTATTATCATCATTCCATTAGCTATAGATAGATCTAGCCTTGCAGTTGGTCACCAAGCATCTTTTTAATCATGTGACAATTGTATCTAATCATACTGGTACCATAGACTTTGAATTACGAATATATACAGCAATGGAAAGGATGGTGGGTGTGGATAATGCAAAAATAATATATAATTTTCTTTCAAATTATAGTTAGTGCTTTATTTTGGTGATTCTGAGTTTGCATGACACTGGTCCATCAGAGAAAGCATGTTGTCTTGTTCCAGGCAGACATATAATATTTCAGGTTCCTTCAGTTCAATC